GCAGTTGCGAAGTTCGCTTTCCTCCCCCTTGCCTATAGCAACCTGAGAGCAGGTCAGAGATGCTTCGAGAGTTGACACTTAAGATAATATTCAAATATTTTATGATAAAATATTCATAAAAGAAAATAGATACTTCAAAATTGAAAGAATTTGTTTTTGCATATGCTTTGATAGAAGGACCAAGCAAAGCAGTTAGGTTGTCCTTTCCTGTCACATCAATATTTCCTGCTACAGCTTTTGCATTATGCAGACTTTGGATTTAGCTACTAGTTATTGTATATCTGTAGAAAAGGTTTTCACAAGCATTAAGTTCACAATAAAAATTCTGGTAGTCCTTGACTTACGACAATTGGGACCAGAATTTCCATTGTTAAGTGAGTCACACATAATTTTACCAGCTTTTTTTTGGGCAGTTAAGTGAATCATTGCCATTGTTAAGATAATCCATCTTTGCATGTGGGAAGCTGACTGGTGATCACATGATCCTGGGACATTGCAACCGTTGTAAATACATTCTGATTGCCCAGCACCTGACTTTTGATTATGTGATCCTGGGGAATGCTGCAACAGTGATAAGCGTGAGGACTGGTTGTAAGTAACTTTTTTCAATGCCACTGTAACTTTAAACGGTTCCTAAATGAACAGTTGTAAGTTGAAGACTACCAAACTCAAACATTCTGTTGGAATAACATTGCATTAAACCTTTTTTTCTCCTTGGAATGTGTTTAGGGGAACTGAATTAAGCAACTTAAATATCCTTTGGATAAAAAGAGGGGTTGCCGAAGAGTGGAATCGTATGCAGTCACCCACAAGAAACATCTAAGGCTATAGTACATTAAAAGAGAATAATTATATCAAACTTAAGCAGCAGATAGCGCTAGATTTGGCGAAATGGGAAAATTTACAACTGTCATTAATAGGGAGAATATCAACAATCAAGATGAATATACTACCCAGAATTTTATATTTGTTCCAAACAATTCCAGTTAGGCTTGAAAAAGATTATTTTGAAGATTTAAATAAAATTGTGTTGAAATATATATGGCAAGGTAAGAAAGTGAGAATAAAGTTAAAACTGTTGCAAGATGCCGGAATAAGAAGAGGATTTGGTTTGCCTAATTAGGAGTTGTATTACCAAGCTACAAATTTGATGTGGGTTAAGGAATGGACAACATTAAGAAATACTAGATTGTTGACATCAGAAGGACATGATCTGTTGTTGGGATGCCATGCTTTTCTATGGTATAAAGGAACTAAAACACAGGGGTACTTTAGAAGACATTATATACGGGAGTCTCTGTGGTTAAATTGGGAGAAGACTAAAAGGCAATGTTATTTGAAAATTCCAGTCTGGCTATCGACTATTGAAGCATTTTCTTATCCTATAATATATAAAAAGGAACAAACAGTTAGATATGGTGAAATATTGAATGAAAAGGGTGAACTTAAATCTGTGCAAAAATTAGAGGAACAAGGTATAAAGATGAATTGATTTTCATATGCGCAAATACATTCAAGGTATGACAAATATTCTAAAACAGATTTCTATGATAAACTGACTGATTTAGATAAGATTTTGACAGATACTGATGAAAAGGTGATTAAAAAATTGTATGGATATTTATTAGAAATTAAACAAGAAGAAGAACAAGTTAAAGAAACTATGATTGCTTCGGGGAAGAATTTTGGATATGGGATTGATCTAGAGAAATGGCAAAAATTGTGGTCTCAAAATTATAAGATGACAATGTCAACAGCATATAAAGAAAATTTGTATAAGATGTTTTACAGGTGGCATTTCCCCCTGACAAGAATAGCAAGAATGTTCAAGAACAAATCTGAAAAATGTTGGAAATGTCATCAGATACCAGGCTCATATTACCATATGTGGTGGACTTGTGCAGATGCCAAAAAATATTGGACTAAAATCCACACGTGGTTGGAAAAGCATATAGACTTGAAACCAGAGATATTTTTATTGGGAGTTTTGCCTGAAATATATAGTAAAGAATTGAAATACCGGATTGTAAATGTATTAACAGCGGCTAGGATTGTATTTGCCCAAAACTGGAAAAATGAGAAAATACCATTACAGGAGGAAATCATTAAGAAAATATTGGCATGTGCTGAAATGAGTAGATTGACATATGAAATCAGAGAACAAGATGATAAACAATTTTATAAAATTTGGGATTTATTCTATCAATGGTTAGACAATAAAACATGGTAATGAAATATGTAGATTCTTAGAAAATAATAAATATATAAAGATGTATTCTTTTCTATCTACAAAATGATTGTAGGATAGATTTGAGATGATAATATGAACTTTCATAAAACAAATTAAGTAAAATATGGTTTATTTCGTAAAACATGAATGAATAAAAGTATAGTCAAATGATTAACAATGATATTAATGTACTTAATATTTGATTGAAAATATGAGAATATATACAATGTAATTGTAACTGAAGACTATGAAATGGAAGCACAAAACAATTTGTAAACCAACTGACACACTGTATGTATATATATGGAAGATGGCCTGATGTTTTTATGTTTTGTCTGTCTATGTTTGTCTTAAAAACCAATAATTTTTTTTATATATATATATAAAAGAAACATCTAAGGCAATGCTAGTCGCAATGCCATTTTTCTAATTCAGAAAACGGCCACAGACATAGGCCTGAAAAATGGAGCAAAAATATTTCATGAGTTGGACATGTACAAGAAATTACCTACCCAAAACTGAATGACTAAAATATATCTCCCATGTATAATCTATTTTGTAAAATAATATTCTAATAAATTGGAAATGTGTTTCAAAATCAGCAAAATAAATTATAAAAATGCATATTATACATTTTTCATTATAACTGTATATAACACCATGAAAACAAACAGCTTAGCTGCACAACACTATTTTTTACTTAGATATTAGCCTTTTTGAACCATGTATTTTTGGCTGCAACTTAAAATATTAAAATGTTCTATCTATAATGTGGAAATAATACATTTTCTTGATAAAAACGTGTACCTGTTTTGCAGAATACAGATAGTCCTCAATTTATGACCACAATTGAGCCCACAATTTCTATTGTTAAGTGAAACATTTGTTAAGTGAATTTTGCCCCATTTGCAATCACTCTTGCCAGTTTTTAAATGAATCATTGCAGTTGTTAAGTTAGTAACCCAGTTGTTAAGTGAATCTGGTTTCCCCATTGACTTTGCTTATCAAAATCTTGCAAAAGTTGATCACATGACCTTGAGATACAGCAATGGTCATAAGTATGAACCAATTGCTAAGCATCTCAATTTTGATCACATCATGGGGATGCTATAAAGGTTGTAACTGAAAAATAGTGCTATGTCACCTTTTTCAGTGCCTTTGTAACCTTGAACAGTCACAAAATGAAGTTGACCTGTATATAAAAGTCCACACTGAGAATTTGTTGTCAGGAAATATTTCAAGCATTGGCAGTTTTATAATCCTTCAGGCTGATAGCCAGCCCCACTTATTGCTGGAGGGAAAATATATCAGTGCCTGGAAATTTGTCTGAATCAAACAAACATGTTCAGTATTGGTAGGAGCTTGATGCGTTGTAATGTTTTGTACCATGTTTTTCACAACCTAAATTGATAGTTTCTGTCAAAATGGATGCACTCTAAAACTTTGCTAATTGGAAAATATTTGCCTGCTGCCTGTCAAATATATTTTAAAGACATGTAAATCGGATTTTATTTCGTATTGACAACCATGCAGTAAAGTACATGGCAGTATGTGTAGACCTACAACTTCATATACACAAGCATACACATTGGGGAAATTTGAATGGTCGCGCCAGCCAGAGGCGCCCTGGTTCCTGTTTTCATGCTTCCAGGAGGGGGGCGGGGGGGGGGGAAGCGACTGCAATTCCCAGCATTCCTGGGGACTCCGTTTCCCAACATGCCCTTCACTCACAATGGCCTTTCCCCGTGGGTTGAGCGACCCGCACCCTGTTCTTGGTATATGATCGTTTCATTAAATTTCACCTTTCGTAAAGCGCAGCATTTTGAGGAGTCTTCGTCACCGCTCAAAACGCTCTCTATGAATTAACTTCCGGTTGAATCCTCTCCCACCCCCATACCGCTCGTCTCCCCCTTGCGTAGCTCGAATTCTCGCGAGACTTCCATGCCGAGGCCGGCGGGCGGAGGGAGCAGTGGGAGGAGGGAGGGGGTTGGCTCTGGCGCTTGGTGGTGGCGGCCGCCATTTTGCCACGGCGGGTCGGATCTGCCTCGGCGGGGCCTGGTTAGGGATTCACAGCCGAGTGGGAGGGGTCAGCGACTTGCCGAGCAATACCGGCGGGAGCCACGCACAGGAAAAAGCCGACCGGGAGCAGCTTAGGAGCCGCGGATGGCGGCAGATTCTATCCGACCGAGGCGGCGGCGCTGGGGCTGAGGTGGCGGCAGGAGGAGGCGGGGCAGGAGGCACCTCCCCTCCCTCCTCACTCCTCCCCCCTCCCACCCAGGTAAGATGGCGGACCGGCTGGGTCTCTACTCCTCTTGCTCACACCCACCTCTGTGGAGCGGTGCGAGACTCTGCGTCGAGTCGGGAGGGGAAAGTGAGGAAACTAACAAGAGCGTCCGCGTGCCCTCTCCCTGCCACCATTCCCCGCTGGCTGATTCCCCCCTACCTCTAGAGGGCGCGCTAGCGGAAGGAGCGGGAGGCTAAGGAGAGCGCACGCGCTTCTTCAGCCAACGGCCGCGGCCGATGCCGGCCTATTATAACTGAAGCGGTCGGCGTTCTCTCTTTCGCTTCCCCCGCCCCTCCCCCAGCAGCTCGACGACTGCGCGCGCCACGGATCCGGCCGACCGACCGACCAACGGCTGCAGCTTCCTCTGTGCGTGGTGGTGGTGGGGGGGGGGGAGAGGGGGGGGGGGGGGGAGGGGGGCGGGTGGGGGGGTGGGAGGGGTTTGAGGCGTCGGGAGGGGGGTGAGGGAGGGAAGTGGGCGGGGATAAGGGGGACAAAGGGTTAAAGGGAGGGGGAGGGAGCGAATAGAGGCGAACTTAGACTGAAGAAAGAAAGAAAAAGAAAGAAAAGAAAAGTGTCCTCGGGCCAAGTTCAGAAAACTCTATCACAACCGTGGGTGTTCAGGGAATCTGGTCAGAGGATAAGGGGTGTGAGTTTGGAGAGCTTTAGGTTTTTTTCTCCAGGCCAGAGTGATTGCAAAGGTCTCAAGGCGTTGGGAGGGCGGGGTAAAGGCACTGAAGTGTGAGGTAGCTAGGGATAATTGAATAAAGCTTAGACTGGAGTGGAGAAACTCATTTACTGCATGTCATCAACTCGAGTGGAAAGGCTTGAAAGAAGCTGAGTAAAGGAGGAAGAGTGGTGTGAACATGGAGCCCGAGGAGGGACATAAAGAAGATCAAGCTGGTAGTGCTGGAAATGAGGGGCTGAATCAAGCGTCCACTGTGGGGGAAAATAACAGAGAAGTGAACGAGGGGACAGCACCATTCTTTTCAGAGGCAACTGAGTTCGAGGACCAGGGTCGGGAAATTTTTGGGGTCGAGGGTGAATTAAATCCTGAAAGAGTTGATGTGTCTGAAGGAGAAGCAATATCAGGGGAGGACAGAAATTATACTGAGGCAGAGCCCGAGGAAGTAAAAACGGGGGAAAAATCAAGTCTTGAGAACCTGAAAAGTAATGCAGAATATGAGGAATTGGGAGGAGCAGGTCAGAAAGAGACTGATTTATTTGTGAGCCCATCTGCAGGAGAAGCAGAAGAAAAAACTCCAAAGCGGATAGATCAGAGGAAGATAAAGAAGCATGAAGAAACAGGGATTGTTGAAGACAGAATTCTAGAAATGGATGAAAAAGTTGATTTGGAAAATCGGGATCAGAGGGAGAAAGACGTTCATGCAGATACTGAAGGAAAGGCTGATTATCCAGCCAATTTGAATGACAAGAGCATTAAACAGACAGCTGATAGGGAAGGCATGGCGTTAGACCAGAAGGATTTAGAGGGAGGGATTGAAAAAGAGATTGCTGAAACCACAGAGATTCAGAAAGAGCATGCTTTTTCAAGTTTGGATCAGGGAGGCAATTTAAAGATAACCGAAGCGGGAAAGGATGTAGCAGCAGATGCAACATCAGTACATCAGAGACAGACTGAAGAATCTGTAGGATTAGGTATGGAGCAAAATAAGGTGTACACCAAAGCTGAGGATGAGAAAATAGCTGGAGTAGAGCAAAGTTTAATTGCACATGAAGCAGTGACATTAGTAGAAACCCAGGAAAAACCTGAGGAGCCATTTGAAAATCTCGGGGAACCTGGAAAGAGAGATGCAACAATGGCAGAGGAGGAAGCCAGGCTGTTAGAAACAAATCAAGTACATGTTGAAGAGGCTGAGAAAGCACCAGAGGCAGAGATTGGAACTGAAAAAAAAGATGCAGCAACAACACTGCATCAAACAAAGGCTGAGAAGGTAGTTGAGGGAAGTCAGGGAGAAAGTGGACAACTATTGGGAGATCAAAAAGTAACAGTGGTTGAAGCAGGAGTTGCTGAAACAGAAGGAGTTGTGATTATACCAGTTGAAGATAAAACTGAGGATTTGGTGGAGACAAGTGAAGTAGTAATGGGCGAGAAAGATTTCACTGCCGTGGAAGCAGAGAGTGGGACAATTGGGAAGGTGACAGCAGAAGATGATGTATCATTAGTAGTTGAAGTTAAGGATGAAAATTTGGTGGACATTAGTGAAACACAGATGGGAGAAGAGTTGATTAAAGAAAAAGATCTAGCAGAAGTAACAGTAACAGAAACAGAGAAAGATGTAGGAGAAGTAACAGAAACAGAAAGTCTAAGAATAAAAAAAGAAATGCCTCAGATAGAAATGGAAGAAATACCTATACATATCCAGGATAAGAGAGGTGAAGAAAAGACTGAATCAGAGATGATTGAAGAGAAAGTTGAAGATTTGACACAACCAGAACAAAAGCCAAAAGAACAAGTAGAGAGGGAAGGTGAACAATTGGCATCAGCTGGCATGATTGATAAAGGGGAAACTGGAGAATTAGAGATGGCATTAGCAATTAATCAGAATGAAATAATGAAAAGCCTGAGGCCATCTCAGGAAAAGGCAGAGATTGCTGTCATAGATGCTGTGGGAGAAAAATTACCATTCCAAGAAAAGATTTTAGCCTGGAGTCCAGAATTGGAAAGACCAACTCAAGAGATAGCAGGGGTAGGCTCCAGAGAAGGGATATCCAGATCATATAGGCAAGAGGGTAAACTAAGCCGAGAACTTATTTCAGAATTGGTAAGAATTGGCCAGGAAAGAAGAAATTTTGGCTTAGGTCAAGTAGAATTACTAGAAACAAGCATAAAGCTCACTGAAGACTTAGATAAATTGGGTAGTGAAGAACAAAGTCACAAAGTGAAAGGTAAAATAATTATAGGCTTGGCAGGGCTAAGACAAGGGTCAATTCAAGTAACACCACATAGGACTGTTCGGTCAGCAGGAGGCTATGATGGAGTGTTGGCACATGTAGCTCCAGGATTAATTGTAACTGGTTTAAGGAAGCCTGAGGGAAAGAGACTAACAAAACAAGATCATATGCAATTGGACAAGAGGACATTAGAACAAAGGGAGACACGATCAGCTGAACAGGGGCGTTTTGGAGTAAGCATGAGGTCAAATGAAGCAGTGGTCTTCATGGGCTACCGAATTGGGCGGGAAAGAATGTCTTGTTTGTCAGAGGCAGAGAAGAGGATGGTGAAAATTCAGCTGCCTGAGTTAGAGGAGATTGGGAAAAAGCCTGCAATAGAACAGGTAGAGGTACCCAGGCAGGAACAGGAAGTGAGGAAGGAAGAGATACAAGAAATTAATGCCAATGAAGTAGTATGGCATCAACTAGAGCAAGTGCCAACAGCTTGGCTTGGTAGACCATTGACACGAGATTATATGGCAGCACAAAGTTCTGGGTGGACTGCAGGCATAGGGCCAGGACATGGGCGCATTTCAAGGTCACTTCGGGCAGGAATAAAAGAAAGAATTAACTTGATGGTGATGGGTGAGAGTGCAACAAAATCAGCACAGAAGCTTGAGCCATTACATTTTGGAATGAGAAGAAGGATGTTTGAGCTTACAAGCAAGTCTGCCAATGTGCATTGGTTAAATGAGATACTGAAGCCAAGACCACCAGGTTCTCGACTTGGTGTTGCAGATCAGAAGGTTCATGAGGAAAGAAGTCCTGGCCTGATGACTGAAAGGCAAAGTCCTGGTTTGTTTGCAAGGAAAAAAGAACTAAAAGATTGGAGGGATGGGGTGATGGGAGTAGCAATCAGGAGATACAATGCAATGCGACTTGCTATGTGGGGAGAAGGCCCAATTGGTTTGCACATAAAAGGGAGAAGGTTAACTGAGGATTTATATGGCCTTACAAGTCGCTCCCATAAGGTGAGTTCCATTTTGGGGCAGGTTGAAAGGAGAGTGTTAACAATAGCACAACAGGTAACAAACGAGAGAGTATCAGGTTTGGAAGTGGGTGGACAAAGTCTGGCTGAGATACTGAAGCAGGATATGGAGTTAGCAAGGTCAAAGAAAGGTGAGAAATTTTCAAGGTAACTGGTAAAACAAATTATGCAGTGAATTTAGGGATATTGGGTTGTTTAAGAATTAGTGGAAAAGCAGAGAATGTATAGAGAATAGTGCAGTTTAAGGACAAAACTTCAGGTTGAGAGGATTTATATATTTGTCAAAGGAATAGAGAAAGATGAAAGGCCAAGACAATGGTACAAGTAACAAAGTATTGAGACTTAAGGAACAAAGAGAATGAAATGAGGAAACAAGGTTAAAAATTGACCTTGAGAAAATTGGTGATTTTGATCATCTGGGATTAGTGGCTGTGAGTGGAAGGTAGCTAAAATCTTTCAGAAAGGAAACTTGACTGGAACATTTAGTAGCATCTCAAACAGGTTCTTGCCTTTTCTCATAGGCTTGGATTTGGTAGCTGGTGCTTACATTAAACATCTCCACTGTAACCTGTAGTCAAGCTATTCCTGTGCTGCCTGCATTGCAATCATGGAGAAACAGGATAACCTTTTGCTAGTGCTTCAAAGAGAATTTTTTAAAAAATAGAATGAGCAAGGCTCAAGCAAACCCAATACATGTTTGTAAAACATGGCATTATCTGCCCTGGATTGACCTTTTCTTTTCAGGTGTAGTCTTCCCCTGGAAAGCGAAACCCTGGAAGTACAGTCTGAAAAGCAAGTGGAATTCTCAGCTCAAACAGGTATAGTTGATTTTTTTTATTGAAAAAATTGTGAATATGGAAACAGCATTTGTATACTTGATTACCATATCTTCCTCAAACTAAAGTTAGATGCAGTTTGTTTCTGTATCCCATACAGGGTAAATCCTCAATTTACAATGGTAGCTTAATGACAATTCAAAGTTAAGACAGATCCCCCGCAAAACGACCCAGATTTGAGTTTCTGATGGCCACCCTCCCTTTTCTGTTGCACAGGATTGTATTTTGGGAGCTTGGTAACCAGCTGTTACAACTGTTTGCAATGTCCTGCAAACATGTCAGTTGCAACATTTTTTCTTCTAATTTCTGACAAAAAATGCCCTTTACGGCCAGTGGGATTGCTTTTTTTTTAAAAAAAAAACCAAGTTTTATTAATTTTTAAAAACAAACAAATCATCATTAACCATTACATACTTAAACCTTTTTCCATTATAAATTTAACAAGTCAAATAAAACCTTATTTTATACAATATAATTCTTTTAAACCATTTCATATGAGCATACAAATACCTCTTATCCAGTTTCTCTTTACTTCTCTTTACTCTTATTCAATTTCATTATTATTATTTCATCTATTTCTTTCTGACTTGGTTACCATTATTCTCATTCTATATTTCTGCAAGGTTTTATTAATTCTCCCAGAAACATAAACACACAACACACAAAACATAAAAAAAATCTTTTAGGAAAGTAACTTGGCCCCAGGTATCTCTCTCTTCATGGACTTCAGTTATATTCATGCTCATCTTACATGTCATTACTTATTTTATTTACCATTCTAAGTCTTCTATATTAGCTTCTCCACACATTTCACTCTTCTTAATTCTATCTTAATTAATCCATCTTAATTTGAGTCATTATATTTGTACCTTTTGTCCATTCTTTATTGTCCCTTTGTCTCGTTCCTTATAATAAAAAAAAAAGAATTTCTCCTGAAATCACTAATCAGAGTATGATGCCTTTCTATCTCCCCCCTAAATTAATCAAATTAACATTTAAAATAACACCCAATACTCAATCCGATTCTGCTTGGTACATTCTATCTACTAATTTTTTTTCCAAAATAAACAAAAAATAATAAATCCAAAATGATTAAATACATAATTAAGCAGTAGATCTAAATATTGAATCTTATAACATTCCCATTGCCTTTTCCAAAAACAAATGCTACAATAAAATTTTTATAATAACATCAATACCATAATCTTATTAAACTCTTTAATTAAAACTCAATATTCTAAACCTTCCCTTTAATATTATTAAATTTTAAAATCAATCATTACTAAACATTTCAGCATTTTAATATCTTATTAACTCTTAAACCATTTTAGTTTTCTATTTCTAATACAATGCTACAATATCATCTTATGTACCTTGCAAAATCTTTTTTAAAGAAATTATACTTTACCCTTTGTCCCTAAAAAAGATTCCTTTTTTCCCATCTAGTTTCAAAACTTTGTGGCTTTTCTCCACCTTTTTCCTTCCTTTCTTCCCCCACCAGACCTTTCTACCCCCACTTCTTCTAGCCTCTGCCTTACTGACTTCCCTTCTCTGTTGTATTCCTTTTGTTTATTATCATTATATTGATTTTGCACCTTATTTTTCCCTTTCTTAAGTGTTTTTTTAAATCTTAAGTCCTTCATTTTCCTTCCTTTCCCTCTTCCTTCTTTCTTAGTTAAGTTCTGAAATTCATTAAAGATGGCTTCTTCCTCTCCTTCTTCTTCTGCTGTCTCCATCTGTTGTAATGTTTGTTGATAGTTAGCAAGCGCCATTTCTAAAAAAAGGAAGGCTTCTTTCACACTATCTTTGTCATTTTTCTTTGTTTGCTCATATTCTTTTCTCAGTTCCTCAACAGAAAAAGCCATTATAAATCTTTTTTTTTCCCCCTTCTTTCTTCTTGCAACAACCAAGATATTTCAAAAGAAATAGAACAGTCCCAAAGTCATCAATCAATCCAAGCCAAGGCAAAGGTCTCACTTTCTCTTCCTGGGGTAGTATCAATCAACAAAAAAGAAAGTCCAAATCTGTATCTTAAAGCCTTATTGCAATATATTTCAATCTTCAAATCCTTAAGGCATCTCCTCTAACAAAATCTTAGCATATAATTATTTTTTTAATCCTCTCCCTTCCCACTTATCACTTAAAGCCAGTTTTACCTGAAAAAGATAGGTTTCTTAATATCCACTTGTTAATTCCGTAGAGAAGGAGAGTAAACTTTCCTTTCAGCACCTCCAAATTGCCGCTTATTTTCTCTTCTGGAAGGTATCATTCAAAAAGCCATAATTTCCAGGAATTTTGTTAAATATGTCTTAGAGTCCTGGGAACCAAGAAAAACTTTCTCTTTTCAAAGGCTTTCTCCTCTTCCTCCTGCGCATTCTTACCCGGCTGCCAGCTTCTTTGTGGCGGCCATTGCAGACCGCCGCTGCACCGTCTTGGGAAAAGGGGGTTCTGCCGGCCGGGAAGGGGGTCTGCAACACCCCCAAACCCCTCTCTTCAGCCACCCCTGCAGGGCAGCCTTAGCTCCGAACCCGTCCGGATCGGAGCACCAAAAACGGCTAGCGCAGCAGGGATCGCGCAGTATCGCGAATCCCTGCCGCTTGCGAAGCCGACAAACCGGAAGTTGTAGTGGGATTGCTTTATGACCACTGAGTTTGCTTAACAAATCTTGCAAAAAATGTTAGGAAATAAAGTTGTTCATGTGGGTGCCTCACAACTGTCATGATATATGACAGAAATTTGGGGCTCCATTACAGTTATAAATTGTGGGCTGTGTGTATTAGATTTTGATTGGTGTGATATGCAAGAGAGTATACTAGGAATTATTGCAGTCAAAAGGCAGGAAATCTTAACATACACATTGACATGTGAGCACCCTCAAGTTTGGAGCTACATATTTCCTCATAATTGGGGAAACAGACATTTTCTTGGGAAATTTCTATTGGAAAAAGATGGTGTGGTATCAAAATTCTCTTTGTGTTTCATTACATTGTGGTTACATTTCAAATCATAACATATAGGTAGTTCTCAACTGATGACCATTTATCAACTATTCAAAGTTATGGCAGTGGTGAAAAAAGTGATGACCGGTCCTCATACTTACAACCAGGTCATGTGATTGTTATTTATAACCATCTTCGCAGGGGGCTTCCAATAGGCAAAGTCAATGAAGAAATCTGGATTTGCTTAACAACTGCATGATTTGCTTAACAACTGTGGCAAAAAAAGATTGTAAAACCAAGTGCTATTCATTTAATGACTACATTGCTTAGCAATTGGAGTTCTGGTCCCAATTGTGGTCATAAGTCGAGGGCTACATATATTCAGCTATTTTTTGCAAAGATATAGAGATGAGAAAGGGGTGATCTATGAACAAAACTTATAATTTTCAGAGCTATGGAACAGCACAGTAATAACAAGCATTGATTTTTAAAGCAGTCATATGTTCAGAGAGCTACACAGGCAATCAAATTAAATAAACAAATACAGATTTCTTAAGGGTGCATCTATAAAAATTGAAAGAGAATTAAAATATATATTTTGGGAGAGAAACTTTCTCAAAATTAGAATAATCTCCAAACAATGAAGTTGGCCTTTTCAAGACCTTTTCCTACACTTTTTCCCAATTACATTAAATGCTACTAGCAGGTCAAATTGTTTTGTCTTGATAGGTTAATTGTACTTTAATATAAAAAAGCTCTTTTTGCTACGTGCCTCAATTTTGAAAGATTTTCAGTTTGCTGCAATCGTGAAATGTTGATTTCTGCTTATGAATTTCTTCAGCTAATTCTGAGTCAGGCAGTCCCGAGCGCAGGCTGGGCTGCCAAGGAACCCAGGAGCTGGACGGCTCGTCCCAGTGGCTGGCTGACCAGAATGAGGCCAGTTCGCAGCATGCACTGCAACAGGAGACCAGTACTACAACCACAACTGAAACTATTGGGACGAGAGGCGAAGAGCAAGAGCGAATTAAAATGCAGACCAGTCCTCCCCAACAACACCACATGCTGCACGCACAGGTAGAGTTGGAGGTGAGAAGCACCCATGTGCAAATTCCTCTGGATTAGCCAAGTCTATCTGTGGATTTTCAATGATGGTTAAGATAAAGTGAGACACATTTTAGGAAGCAGCTTTGTGGAAAACCCAAGGAAGTTCTCTGAGATTTCTCCTAGACTTATTTTTGGAGTTACTATATTTTAATGATTGAGAGCACTGTGATAATCCTTGTTGTTGATTTCTCCTTCCTTCCATATTACATTGCGTTCTTCAGACTACATCAGACAAAATGACAGGCAGCAATCCAGTGTCGCCAGCCTCTTCAGGCTCACCTGCCTCAAGTGGGAGCATCTCACCATCACATCTCACCCACGATTCCTCTTTGGACAGTCACCTAAGTTTTGATGGTCCCAAGTCGCAGAACAGAGCCCTGGTATCATCTGGGATGTACATCTCCCCTGATCCTGCGACCATGTGGGACAAGACACATGCAGAAATTGCTGAGCAGGCAAAGCATGTAAGCTCTTGTCCAAGCCTTTGGGCCATTTCAGCCACCTTTCTATTGGGCATAAGTACCTGCAATGTAAGATAGTATAGGGTAGCCCTGAACCTTTCAGGAAGCATGTGAATGAACTACCTGACTTGGATACTCTATTTTAGGAAGCAGAAATTGAGAATCGCATTGCAGAAATGAAGAAAGAAGGATTCTGGTCTTTGAAAAGGCTTTCAAAGGTGCCTGAGCCGATTCGGCCCAAAGTGCATTGGGATTATCTTTGTGAGGAAATGCAGTGGCTCTCTGCTGATTTTGCTCAAGAACGTCGAT